CTTTCCTTGTCCAGGCTTTCTGAGACTCGGTAGGCTTGTATAATTGCTAGCTCTTTTCTTTGATAGTTACAGCAAGAGGCATTTGCTTGGAACTCTGCCTTAACAGCCTCCTTTTTCTTAGCTGGTTTGGTTTTCTGTGGGGGTTTTCTGTATGTTTTTTTCTGTGTGGGCTTTCTGCTCCTTGTGGGAAGGGGACAGAATGCTCAATAAAAGAAAGCTGCGCTCTCCTCTTGGAGTCCTCAGCTGTATCTTTGCAGATGGCAACCGCTCACCTTTTTATCTTGTAGATTGTCAATTTTTGTGCTGTGTCCTCTGTGAGAGTGAATCCAAACCCAGTTCAGAAGTCTCTAGTTAGGAAATGGTCTTGCACAAAAGGAGAGAGCAAAATGCACTCAGTATTACCTGAGTTGGAACTTAAAAATACTAATAAAGCTACTCTTAAGAGGAAAGTTACAACCCATGGGGGGAAAAAGCCTTGATTTTCAGCATGCTAGTAACAATTAAAATCTGCAATTTAAAATCCTCCAAGCAATATGCAAAAAAGTTAAGAGGATAGTTGTCTATATAATGTTCTTTCTTGTTTTGTAGTGCTTTCTACCATGCCTGATTTCTGGTGTGCTCTAAGTTTGTAAGCAGCAATGCATGACATGTTTGACTGCTACCCCATCTGCTATACCAAGACACTGAATAATTAATATTCTCTGGAAAGGATTAATTTCCTCCACTATTCTCTCCTTTCTTGGTACCCCATGTGTGCTGCTGCCAGTTTTTAGCAGAAGCTTGCTAATACAGATTCTTTTCCCAAGAACTGGTGCTGCACCACAAAAAATTATTTCCATACAAAGTCTTAGAGTATTGTTTTAGGTACATTGAAGTTAAAAAATGACATGTAGTCTTGAACACTAATGTTAATAATATGGCAATAACTGGGCAGGATGCCCTATTACCAGTGTCTAGCCACTAGTTACCCATATTATGTTTTATATTGGTGAATAGCCCCAGAAATAGATAATCTGTGTGTGTTGAATACTTTAGTGGCCAAAGAAATCTTCCAACATGCTTAT